CAAACAAAACAAAATGTGTATCAAGCAATTCATTGACAAACTCCTACCTCCATCCTCCATTGGTGATGCCCAGCCTCAGACATCCATGGGAAGCCTTGTGTTAGAAGTATACCAGGACCACTGTAGTACAGAACAAACCTCTGATGCCCCATCAGGAAACTTGTCTGTAGTTTGAGAGTTTTGCAAATACTTATCAGGTAACATAGACTAACCAACATGTTTTCCTTGTGGGGAATCTTGATTTCTCTATAAAAGAAGATCTAGACTACACTAGCATTAAAGTAGGTCACCCACCTAGTGATTCCCAATGTAATTCAGCAAGACAGAAAACTGTCAGGATAAGGAGATGGCTTCAAGGGTTAGACTGCAGGCCTTGCTGGGGCCTCCCTAGCACTGCATGGGTCCCCAAGCACTACTGCGAATTTCCCCTCTCTCTAAATGTTAAATCAAAAATGCTGTAACATTATTATATCCTTTGGAAATTAAGTTTTAGTGAAAATAAGTTCAAGTCTAAATAGGAAACATGAGAATTATGCATAAGACAACTGAGTTTATAGATTCATTCCCAAATTAATCATTGTATAGTTCTGCATTCTTACTGTGTATTCAGTTTTAACTGTAATACATCATAAGAATGAGGTGGTATTACATTATTCCCTAATAATCGGGACAATGTTTTTTTGTGTTAATACAGAGTAAGACTTTTCTCTCTTTTAAATATATGCTTTCTAAAGCTCGTGACATTCTGTGAAATCCTTAGATGGGACTCTTGCTTAAATAGAGTAATGGTACATGTCTTTTATCCATTATAATATATAACTTGTACCCATTTCTCCTCTTAATACAACACTAAAATGACAAGAATTTATAATTTGTTTCATCCAGGATTTCTTAGAGCCATTATGAAGTCTCATTAAGGAAACCAGAATATGTCACCCTAAAAAACGTACCTGAGAACCAGAGCAGTCTGTACACACGTCTTAATCTGTCAGTCTTCTCATAAATTTATCTTCTTTTTTCTTGTGTGTGTGTGTGGGGGGGTAGTTGTTGACAGGGGCACACTCCTGGTTCTCTGCTCAGAGATGATTCCTGGAGGTTTTCTGGGGACCATATGGATGCTGGGGATCGAACCCAGGTCAGGTGTGTGCAAGGTAAAAACCATATCCACTGTACTCTCCAGCACCCATACATTTATCCTTTACAGTTTACGGCTTTCGAAATATGAAACTTTTTGTCCCGTCATTTTCTTCAGATTTATTGTTCTTTGTTCCAGATGCTATATATAGACCACAGTTCTCAGCTGCTGTCTTGAGTCACTCTTGGTTTTAGGTTTCTCTCGTGTGACTAGATGTATTAAACCTTTTCTTTCATTAAGTCTCTCTTTTTGTTGAGGTCTAGGTGAAAAACCCAAGGTTAGGTATAGATTAAGTTCGGCCTTGCCTGCACTAGGGCTCATTGAACATGTAGATCTCTCATTTGCTAATTTTCCTGAGGCTGGCTAAGCCAAGGGTTCACCACCCAACGTTTGATTCTGAACTTTTAGGTTTGGTCAACGTGGTAGACTTCCTCCTGTCGACTGAATATTGAGCCCCCACGTTCTAATTTGAGAATCTAGAATCCCAAAAGGGAAAAAAAAACACACACAAGAAACACATCAAGAATCAGCATGCTGAAAGTAGACTATAGACCAAACATGACTGTCACCCATTGCCTCTTTTGCAAACCACAATACCCAATAAGAGAGAGAGAACAAAAGGGAATGCCTTGCCACAGAGGCAGGGTGGGATGGGGGGTTGGGGGGTGGGAGGGATACTGGGAACCGTGGTGGTGGGAAATGGGCACTGGTGGAGGGATGGGTATTTGATCACTGCATAATTGGAACCCAAGCACAAAAATTTATAAGTCTACAACTGTATCTCATGGTGTCTCACTAATAAAAATTAAATTAAAAAAAAAAAGAATCAGCATGTTCATATTTTTAACTTCCGAAAATGAACTTGTTCTCACTTATGCAACAGAAATGTACAGTCTAGTCCTTCAATTTGTAAGTCACACTCATTCTTAGCATTCTCAATTATATGCAGAGTGGAATGCACAATTGTTTTCCACAAAGGAAATGAAAGCAAGTTATTTTTTTTTCTGCCTTTATTTCTTCACATTAAAAAAAGTAAAGCCTAACTTTACAACTGATTAAAAATGGATGTAAAAATATAGTATCCTGGCTTACATTTCTGGGAAAAATAGGTTTAGCTAGTACTCGGTAAACCACATAGACAAAATGGTTCCCCAGCTGGGCATCACACGATTATTCAAGGAGCTGTTTCACAAGAAAGGTAAACTTACAGAAGAGCCTTGAACTTTACCTGCCTTGGCAGGATTTTGTAACTCCTTCGTCGCCGACGGCTTAGGTGAAGAGGTCAGACTCTTTGGGGCATACTCCCTATTCTTACTTCAGGTTTCTGAACTGTGGCTGTTCTGTCCCCGTAACAGGAATTGGCAGGTAAAATTGCTAAATTATCTGTAGTGAACGATGCACCCTACACACTAAAGTTCTCTGTTATTTGGTTTCTTCAGGGTCTCCAGTGTGAGTCCCCGGCCTTTTGTTAAGTTGCTGTGTTTCAGTGGCAGCAAGCACACCTCTTGCCAAGTGCCTTCAAGCACACCTACTGCCAAGTGCCTTCAAGGGAGTGAGTTTGCTGAGCTACACCTTCTTCTCAGATGTCCTGGCATTAAAGATTTATGGACCGTAGAAGCCACCGTGAGAAGAGTTCCTGAAGAAGAACACCGCGATGCCAGTAAAATCTTGATTAAAACAACTCATTTGGAGAACTCGAAAATGCTGTGATGGGACATGTGTTGAGTTCATGGACACATACACCTTCCGACAAGCGGATCTACCTGTAAGGACAGCGGTTTATACAGAGCTAAGTGTGAAAGCAACAAGTAACCCCGATGCCACCATGTCCTGGGCCCAAGAGTCAGAGACCAGGGATCCTGTTTAGAGGGAAGGGAACTGGGAGCAGAAGTCCCTAGGGTCTGTGATGGCAGATACAACCCTGGCTCACGGCTCACACTGCCCTGATTGTTCCTAGTACTGGAATCTTGGGGTAGAAGCAAAATCACCCGAGAGCTGCTTAGGGAAGGGAGAGGCCGAAAGAGGAAGAGGAGGAGAGAGCCAGGAGAGAGGGGGTGAAAGAGAGAGAGATGGAGAGAGGGGCTTGGGGGGGAGAGAACCTCCAAGTGGGCCCTCCGGCGTGCTTGCTCTGCACAACCCAGTTCTCAGGACCCCCCAAGCTCCTCACCGAAGAGTAGAGCTACCTCCTGGGGCCCCCTCCACCCCCTTGGCCTAAGCAGGCTTTGTAGGTCAGGGCCAGCCTCGCTGCCTCGGTTCGGGACTGGGCCAAGGGGTCTGGCACGCCGCAGCAACCGAGATGGGGGTCGTGGTGGGGGGGAGCTTCTGCACGGTCCCCACATCCTGCGGGGGGCGGGGGGCCTTGACCACCACCCCCGAGGCCTGAGCCCCGCAGTAGGGCGTTCACGCCCCCCTCCCCCCGTAGAGGGCTCCGCCCAGTGCAGAGGCGCGGGGTACGGGCAGGGGGCCGGCTGGTGGGCCGATGAGGATCCGGAACGACCCCGCGCAGGCCCTTCTGCGCTCAAAGGCGAGCGGGAACGGCGGCCAGGGTCGACCTCCTCCTCCTCCTCCTCGGGCCGTGCTCTTCCTCCTCATCCTCCTCCTCCTGGGCATCCTCCTCCTCCTCCTCTTGCTCCTCCTCCCCCTTGCATCCTCCTCCTTCTCCTCCTGGTCCTCCTTCTCTCCCCCCTCCCCCTCCTCCTTGGGCTGCGTTCCTCCTCCTGGGCATCCTCCTCCTCCTCCCCTCCTCTTCCTGGGCATCCTCCTTCTCCTCCTCCTCCTCCTTCTCCTCCTCCTCCTGGGCATCCTCCTTCTCCTCCTCCTCCTGGGCATCCTCCTTCTACTCCTCCTCCTCCTCCTGGGCATCCTCCTCTCCCCTCTCCCTCTCCCCCTCCTCCTCCTCCTCCTCCTGGGCATCCACCTCCTCCTCCTCCTCCCCTCACCCCTCCTCCCCTTGGCCTCCTGGGGATCTTCCTCCTCCTCCTCCTCCTCCCCTTCCCCTCCTGGGCATCCTTCTCCTCCTCCTCCTCCTCCTCCTCCTACTCCCCTCCCCCTCCTGGGCATCCTTCTCCTCCTCCTCCTCCTCCTCCTCCTCCTCCTCCTCCTCCTCCCCTCCCCCTCCTGGGCATCCTTCTCCTCCACCTCCTCCTCCTCCTCCTCCCCTCCTCCTCCTGGGCATCCTTCTCCTCCACCTCCTCCTCCTCCTCCTCCCCTCCTCCTCCTGGGCATCCTTCTCCTCCACCTCCTCCTCCTCCTCCTCCCCTCCTCCTCCTGGGCATCCTTCTCCTCCACCTCCTCCTCCTCCTCCTCCCCTCCTCCTCCTGGGCATCCTTCTCCTCCACCTCCTCCTCCTCCTCCTCCCCTCCTCCTCCTGGGCATCCTTCTCCTCCTCCTCCTCCTCCCCTCCTCCTCCTGGGTATCCTCCTTCTCCTCCTCCTCCTCCTCCCCTCCTCCTCCTGGGCATCCTTCTCCTCCTCCTCCTCCTCCCCTCCCCCTCCTGGGCATCCTTCTCCTCCTCCTCCTGCTCCTCCTCCTTCTCCTCCTCCCCTCCTCCTCCATGGGCATCCTCTTCCTCCTCCCGTCCTCCTCCTCCTCCTCCCCTCCCCCTCCTGGGCATCCTCCTCCTCCTCCTCCTGCTCCTCCTCCTTCCCCTCCCCTCCCCCTCCCCCACCGCTCCTCCTCCCCCTCCTCCTCCTCCTCCCGGCCGGCTGGGCCTTTGCGTGCCATGACTCAGCGCTTCTCCCAGCCGGGCCGGGCCCGCGGCTCCTCCCGGGCGGCTCCTCCCGCCGCGCGCGTCCTCCCCCTCGCGCCACCGGCGCCCGCGCCCGCCCCCGGCCCCGGCCCTTTAGCCGCGCGTCCCCGGCGGGCGCCGCAGCCTCCCCGCCGCGCCCGCGCCCGCGCCCGCACCCGCGCCCCCCGGCATGGAGCCCCCCGCGCCCCGCCGCCGCCGCCACACCCACCAGCGCGGCTACGCCGTCACCAGGAACCCGCACCTCAACAAGGTCAGCGGGCCGGGCGGGCAGAGACCCCACACGGGGCGCGGGGCGGGCGCGGGGGGACCCGGGACCCCGAGCGGCGGTTGGGAGGGGGACCCCCGCGGGGAGCCGTGGGGGCGCCCAGCCCGGCACCGGGCACCGGCACTGGCCACCGGGCACTGGGTACTGGGCACCGGGCACTGGGCACCGGGCACTAGGCACCGGGTACTGGGCACCGGGCACCGGGTATTGGGCACCGGGCACCGGGTATTGGGCACCGGGCACTGGGTACTGGGCACCGGGCACCAGGCTGGGCACCGGGCACCGGGCTGGCACCGGGAACTGGGCGCCGGGCACTAGGCACTGGGTACTGAGCACCGGGCACCAGGCTGGGCACCGGGCACCGGGCTGGGCACCGGGCACCAGGCACCGGGCACCGAGCTGGGCACCGGGCACGGAGGCTGCAGACGCCTCCCCGCGGCTCCCCCAGGCTCTGGACCCGCGCCCCGGACGGCGCCCAAGGGCCGCCTCTTGCCCGGGGACCCCTGCGGGAGGCTGCCCAGGGCGGCCCCGCGCGCGAGGTCGGAGCCAGACCCGCAGCATCCCGGGGCCGCAGGACTCCCGGCTCCTGCGCCCGCACGCTCGCCTCGCTTGGGCCCCCCTTCCCCAGGGGGAACTTAGCAGATGATTTTCTCTTTCCTTTTTTTGCTTATTTTTGAAATGAATACAGAAGAACGATGCTCCAAGGCTTGTCTAGAAGGTGATGCTGTCCCGGGACCCCAGTGGTTGCCCAGCGGGCAGGGTGTTGGCCTTAGCAAGTGGCCGCCCCACATTCTGTGCCCGGTGGCACCACACACAGAGGGTCTGTCTGATTCCCCCCACCCCAGGCAGGACTGAGCCAGGCAGGACTGAGCCCTGAGCACTGCTGGGTGCGGCCCCAGACAGCAAAACATAAATGATAGACAAATACATACACAGATGCTGGAATCTGGCGCGGTTTTCGTTCCCTACTAGCAGTGAGCCCTGAGCACAGAGCCGGGGGGTGAGAATTGAGTACCACTGGGTGTTGCCCACTCCCCACTAACTACCCCCCCAAAAAAAAAAAAAACTGGAGGTGATTCTCTGCATCTCTCAGAGACCCTTTCTCATTCCTGGCTAATACCCGAGATGTCTCAGATGAAAAGCGTCTCAGACGCTTCCCTGGAGGACAGACAGTTGCTCCTTTTAAACCAGGTGTGCCTCTGGCCGGGTTACTGGGTTGGGGTGTGTGTGCTTTGCGGCTTCCCTTTGAATTCGGGACCTTCCCGGACCACCCCGCCAGCCTGGGAGGCCTGAGCAGGGTGCAGGGCTGGACAGTCTTTTCATGGACAGGGCCTCAGCCTTGGCCCCTGCTCCTGCTGCTGCTGCTTTGTGGATTAATTGCCTGGACACATCTCAGTTCTTTTCTTTAATAAATGATACCTAATGTGAGGTTTTCTTTTTTTTTTTCCCTTCTGATGACACGGCAAATTAAGTCAATAACTAGTCAGTGCGTGTGTGTGTGTGTGTGGGGGCACAGGCCACTATGAACTTTTTTTTTTTAAACAATATCCACTTTTGTTTCCTTCAGAGTGAACTGAATGGCCAGTTTGTTGTGGTGGTTGTTGTGGTTGTTTTCTTCCTTCGTTTTATTCTGCAGGCTGGGGCCTCGTGTTTAGTTGGGCATAGGGGAAAATTTGACGGGTGACAAAACAGCTTGCTACTTTCCTTTGTCCTCTTGTGCTCGGTTTATGACTCAATAACAGATTGCTTCTTTGCAAGGGTCACGCGGGCAGTATAACCTGTTTGAAGTCTCAAGTAAGTGGGAGGACTGTTTTCAAGTCGGGAGGCAAAGCAGCCGGCCCTTGGCCAGAGGAAATTTCGCCTTTACTGTTGATGTCCGGAGTTTGTGATTTTTCAATCCGAAGTCTCCTGTTCACAAGCAAGGATGGATTGAAGAATTAATAGGATTAGAGGGGCCAGTACAGCAGGCAGGGCGTTTGCCTTGCACGCGGCTGACGAGGGTTTGATTCTCAGCGTATCCCACATTGTCCCCTGAGCACTGCACAGAGTGTTTGCCGAGTACTGGGCCAGGAGTAACCCCTGAGCGTTGATGGCTGTGGCCTCATACAAAAACCAAACAAGAAAAAAAGAATAATAGTATTTGATATATATATATATTTTTTTTCACCAGGGGTGGAAAGGTGCAGTATTACTATATTAAGAACATAATTCATAATTGAACTTTAGTACAGTCTGTGTAGTATCAGATGGAATTAAAAATCTAATTCACTGGCACTGGGGGGTAGTCAAGGAAATATTTTGGTCTTTTTTAGTAAACTCTTAAGACAGTTGTGTGGTGACCGACAGAATCGCCTCGCATGTACGTATTACTGAGATCATAGTCTTCATCTGCTGTGTTCAGAAGATCTCTGCCTTTATGTTTTCTGATAGTTCAGCACTATATCATCAGTTTTATGGTAACTGGGCTCCAAAGAAATCTTGTTAAACTTTGTCCTTCAATATAAAGCCTGGCCATTATCCGGGTACACCAAGCCTTCTTACCTCACTTTTTTGGCAAACCACAGAAGTTTCATTGTCCTATTTCGGTTCCCCAACCCCCCTCCCCACCCCAAGCGCTATAGTCTTACAGATATGGGAGAGATATTGAGCGGCGTATTCTTCATGTTACGCTTCTATTATTCAAGTATTCGTAGTGTGTTATAATTTTCTCCTATGTTGAATGTGAAATCGACTTCCCAGAATTACTTTCCTCTAAATGTATTGTTACTTTCCCAACTTCGCCTTCCAGTTAAAACATATTGTGTTGGGAAATATGTTACTTAATACTTGCCTTTTTAATCTGTGTTTAATTCTTTCAGTTCAGACAACATTAATTCAGTAATGCTCTCTCTAGGGAAGTTGTTTCTCATCACCTTAGTCCTATTGTCATTACTTAACTGTTAGATGTTGTACTATGTTTTATAGTTATGCAAACTTTTTCCTGATTGATTTCTCATTGGACATTTTAGAAATTTGGCCAGTGGATTTAAATAAATATTTGATGAACGAATAAATCTTTTGTTGCTTTTTGTTTTCTGTACAGTATTCAGCTTTTATTTTATTTATTTTGTGTGTGTGTGTGTGTGTGTGTGTGTGTGTGTGTGTGTGTGGCGGGGAGGTTGGGTAGGGGTAGGGTTGTTGGGTCATACCCGACTGCAATACTCGGGCCTTACTCCTGCCTCTGAGTTAAGAGCTTACTCACGGTAGTGCTCTGGGGGACTAAATGTAGTGCCATTTGTTTTATAGTAGAATATAATCAGAAAAGTTGGAAATTGTTTTAAGCCTGACCATCCTATGACATTTTAATTACTTCCTGGATAATTTTAAGATTTGGTAAAATCAAGGTTAGCAGTAGCTACTATCTGAATTGTCACTATCACTGTCCTTCCGTTGATCATCAATTTGCTCGAGCGGGCACCAGTAATGTCTCCATTGTGAGACTTGTTGTTACTGTGTTTGGCATATTGAATATGTCATGGGGAGCTTGCCAGGCTCTCTGAGAGGGGCGGAGGAATCGAACTCGGGTCAGCCACATGGTCCGCGTGCAAGGCAAACGCCCTACCCGCTGTGCTATCACTCCAGCCCAACACAAAAATAATGACACTTATTTTTTGGAAGGTATCTGACTAGTATTGTTGGGAGCCTGAGGGCTGATCTCACTGATACTCAAGTGGTAATGTCAGGTTTCATGGTTAGGTGCTTGGTCCTGGGTTGTGTTAGTGAGGTTTGGGCTTGGTTGTGCTCAGGACAAGAGGGTTACTGTTATATTCTCAACTCAGTCAAGCTTATTTTTATTTTTATTTCTTATTTTTATTTCTCAAAATTTTTAATTGGGTTTATTTCCCAATGCAGTGGTAGGAGACATCAGCTCATTCTACCATAGTTAACTTGTATTCACTTGCTTTTATATCTTTAACATTAAATAATGATCTGTCCCATAAGTCAATAGCCAAATACACTGCTCTTTAATATTTAGACAGTTTGATTAAGTTAGCTTTCATATTTTATGAAAGCTCGTTTTGGCCATCATTATTAGTTTTTTTTTATTATTGCTAACTTTTAAATCCAAAAAGTGGAATTCTGCCCGAGTGCTTTTGTAGGCTATTTGCATCTTTCATGTAAAGTCTTAAATGGATATATTCTAGAGGGTTAAAATATCTCATGACCTTGAAGGGAAGGTGCATTCCACCTTTTTTTCCCCCTGCGGTGTAAACCACACCAGAATAAATCACTTGGAAGTATCCACCAATCTTAGTTCTCTGGAGTTGCTTCAGGAATACGAGACACTGATGAATTATTTATCAGGGAATTTCAGTGGCATGAAAATCATTGCAATGAGAATGTTTGGCATTAGACCTCCATGTCTAACACCTCGCTGCCGCCGAACCAGAGTGGGAGTAGAGGAGAGCAGAAAAGCAAAGTCGTCGTCTAAGAAGAGGAAAGATGAGTTTTATTTGTGAGAGCTCTGGAAATTGGTAGGAAATGTAGGAAATACAGAAGGATTGGACTTGAATTTTTTCCATTTTGTGTTCCTCAGACTTTGGGACAGTTGTGGGAAATGCGATGTCATTGAATGAACATTTTCACACTGTGAGGCTCGACGCGTCCAAGACCTCATCCTTCCTCATGGACAGAATGCTGCTTTTACTTTTTTTTAAAGCTAAAAATGTTTAGTAGTTGCCACCCACTCCCAGCTTCGATCCAGGTCTCAGGGCCTGTCTTTGTGATGTTTCGCCGTGTGAGGTTAGCCTGACTGTTCGGTTCTCGGGCCTGCCTGTATCCAGCCGTGCTCAGGGCCGAGGATAAAGCCCAGGTACTCGCTTTATCACTTGAACCAACCCCTGTTTATAAGGTAATAGTTAAAAAGTAAAAAAAGTATTGCATAAGAATCACAGGATCTCAATCAATAAAAGCCTCAAAAGATTGCATAAGTTTCAGGTTTACAA